TGATGTGTGATGGCTGTAGAGAGAAAAACTCTGCTTTCCCTCCCTTTCGGGCGAAGAGAAATATGCACATGCACCGATCCTGACAATGCCCATCCTTGACCCAGGATCGGTGCATATGCCTTCCTGGCCAAGGTAGGAGGGCATATGCACCGATCCTGGGCTCAGGATGGGTCTGGCCAGAATCGGTGTATGTGCATAGTTCTTTTTCCCCTATCCCTTCCCTTCCCCCGCCTCACCTTGCCGCTCGCGCGCGCGCGCGCAAAGGTGGCGCTGGGGCCAGCAGCGGCGGCAAGCGCGGCGGTGGCGGTGGTGTCGGCTCCGTTGAGGGGTACGCTGTGCCACCGCTGCTGAGGCAGATGCAGCAGCAGGCGCGGCCGCACCTGGCATGGGGGAAGGGCGAGGACCACGTGAGGCGCTCCAGGAAGGGCTCCGCATTCGAGGGAGCGAGAGGTTGACATCTCGTCCTCGGCGGAAGGCGGCGGAAGCAAAAGCAGGGCCGCTCCGTCGGCGAAAGCTGGCGGAGGTATACACTGCGCTCCCACGAGATGGCATGCTCCTCGGGTTCGGGACTCCCGGAGTCGGACATATAGCTGCTGAAAACGATCACCCCCCCACTCGGCCCCTAGCATGCATGAAGTCTTCCCTCATCTCCTGCTTCTGGCATTGCCCCTCTGCAGCCGGGGGTTCGTCGTCACGCGCATGCGGGTGTAAAGTGAACCAGCCAGTCCCCGCACGAGCCCATGCAAGTCTATGAGCTCACGCGCGCAACTGGGTCTGATGACGCGCGTGGTCGGAGTGGTATCATTCGAACGGGGTGGTGACTGTTCAGCGCGCGCGTGCGGCCCGCGTTGTATCTTTGATGACGGCGGCGCCCCTTTAGCGCGAGCACGTGGCCCGCATGGTGTTGTTGGATTGGAGCATGCGCTTGCAAGATCAACGCACGTACGCCGCACAGTATATCGCGGGGGGGGAGCGGCGGATCCAGGTCGGCCTGGGATGGTATGGAGTCGTTTTCAGGGTGGGGTATCGTGCAGAGCACCTGACATCGATTGAGAACGCTGGACCTGGATCCAGCGGCCTGGAACGGCCCTGTGGAGCCTGAGGCCAAGGGTGATACTAATAAGATTAGTGCTGAAGCTGAGGGAGGAGGGCGTGAGGAGGGGGTTGCGAGGGGGGATGAGAGGGAGGCAGATGCAACAGCAGGTGCAGGCGTCGTTGTCGCCCCCGCTGCCGCCGCCGCCGCCGCCGTCGTCTTCGTCGTCGCCGTCGTCGTCGTCGCCGCCGCCGCCGCCGCCCTCGTCGCTGCCGTCGTCCTCGCCGTCGTCGTCGTCGTCGTCATCGTCGTCGCTGCCGTCGCCGCCGCCGCCGCCGCCGCCGTCGCCGTCGTCGTCGTCGCCATCGTCGTCGCCGTCGTCGCCGCCGTCGCCGCCGCCGTCGTCGTCGTCGTTGTTGTCGTCGCCGCCGCCGTCGCCGTCGTCGTCGTCGCCGCCGTCGTCGTCGTCGCCGTCGTCGTCGTCGCCGTCGCCGTCGTCGTGGTCGCCGTCGTCGTCGTCGCGCAGGGCGGCCACGGCTGCGGCGGCTGCGGCGGCGACGGCTCGCTCGAGCCGGGCCCGCCGCCCGGCCTGGGCGCCGCGCAGGGGCACTGGGCCGCCCCGCCAGGGCTCGAGCAGGCCAGCGGGAGGGGGCCGAGTTCGATCCGATCGATCAAATTCGAAACCGATTTCGGGGGGTCCAAGTCGCCACAGTTAAGCAAGCAGGGGAAGAAGGAGAGGTACAGGCTCAACTATGTTCAGCACGAGTGCTGGTGGTGAAGTACACCCCAGTGAGGATGTGGACATGGAGCTCCATCAGCCGCCACCCGAAGGTGATAGCCTGGACTGGTCTCGCCCTCCAGCTCCTGGTGGAAGGATTGCTGATGGTGCTGCCTCTGCCTCCCTCCTCTCCTCAGGGTGGCCTCGTCCTCCTCCACAATTCGATCCGAGTCGATTTCGATCTCCTGGAGATCCGATGCGGCCCTATGCTTGCATCGCGCTGTTGTGCATCCTGGCGTAGCCGACCCGATCCGATTTCGATTCTGTGCCGATGCAGCCCGATCCGATGCACATCTCGATTCGATCCAATTTGCCTGTCTGATACTGACTGATCTTGGGGGGGGCAGACCTCCTGGCGCCGTGGAAAAAGTGCAGCGGGAGCTTGTTTGTCTGCTTGTTGCGTGGTTGTGCTCCGAGCGTGCTCCGGCACACCCCAGTGATCTTCACGCTCTTGAGGGCCTTGTGCGGCCGCGCGCGGCCCGACCGCAGCTCGGATCCGCAGCTCGGATCCGAGACGCCGCCGGTCAAAAGTTTGTTGCGTCAGGGGCGGCACGAGCGAAAACGCGCGTCAGGAGCGTCAGGGGCGTCAGGAACGTCGGGGGGGTGTCATCGGCGTCAGGGAGGCGTCAGAGGCGTCAGGGGCGTCAGGGGCGCCACGAGCTGGATGCTTTGGCGTCCGGCAGCGCCGCCTCGGAGTGATAGCGCGTTCGGTAGCGCACCTGTGCAGCAAGCACGGACAAATCCTTCTTCTCTTCCTCTTCTTTCTGCTGCTGCTGCTGCTGCTGCTCCTCCTCCTCCTCCTCCTCCTCCTCTTCTCCTCCCCTATGAATGCAGAGGAGGAGGAGGAGGCGCAGGAGGAGTAGGAGGAGGAGGTGGAGGAGGAGGAGGCGGAGGAGGATGAGAAGGACGAGGAGGAGGAGGTGGAGGAGGAGGAGGCGGAGGAGGAGGAGGCATACGGGAGGCTAGGTTTGGCCATGTTAGGCAGACTTGTGCCAAGAGTTCGATTCCGGAATGGGCTTCCCAGTGTCCTTCAGGAGTTATCATCGGCCAGTTTGGTTTCTGTTTTTTCTAGCCTCCCCTCATCTTCCGCCCACAGCCGTGCGATGGGCACACATCGAGACGAAGCGGGCTTGAAGAGATGTTTTTATTATCGACCGACGTCCATATAGTTATGGCTGATGGGATCATGCACCGCGCGTCTCTGTTCTTGTCACAGATGTCGAATGGTTCTTCCTCTCTGGGGGCATGTCTTTCTGCGCTAGGTCTCACATGTACGCGAAACCCGACCCTGGGGTCCCCGAGAAGGCTCAGCGGCATCGCAACGGGTACGGTAGGTTCCAGTCGTGTCGACCGGCGGCGACCCCGCCAGCGGCGTTCAACCTTGAACGCCGCGGGCGACCCAGAATCGTTCGATGTGGAACGATTTCGACGTTTCGGAAACGGCCGATCGTTCAAGGTTGAACGATCCCCGCGGTGTCAGAAACCAACGCTGGGGTCGACACGACGCGAACCTGCCGTACACGCCAGTCGTTGAAGTAGGCATTTCTGGATGCACAGATCCCGGTCTGCTTCAGGGGCTGCGCGGCTGCACTTCAAGGGTCGCGCGGTTGCGCTTCTTCCCTCCACTTTTCAGGAGGGAAAGAAACACACAGACACAATTAATCGACCATCCCCAGGAAAATATGGGAAAATATGGGAAGTGGGGGGGAAGACAAAAACCCAGAAAATATGGGAAAATATGGGGAATCCTTTTATTTGTGTGTATTTATTTGTGTGTCTCAGTTCCCCTTCAACTTTAAGGGGCGGGCCGAAGCCCAATCTGCTTCCAACGCCTTCCTACTTCATGCGTCTGCCCACTTCTTCCAACCGACGGGTACTCACTAACGGGCGCTTCGGGAGCCCCCCGGAAGCTGCAACTTCAGGGCCTCTCTCGGGCAACTTGCAGCGCCGCTCGCACCGTGGGAGGTTCAGGTTGTCGCTGTCATTGCCCACAGCAGCATTCAGTGAGGTCCGCGTCAGGGGAGCTTTGAAAGTCGACGACGACGACGACGAGGACGACGACGACGGCGCTGGCGTCGGCGCCAACGCCGTTCCCTTCTCCGACGCCGACCCCCACGCCGATGCCGACGCCGACATCGCCAACGCAGCCGCCGCCGACGACGACGCCGACGACGACGCCGACGACGACGACGACGTCGACGACAACAACGACGACGTCGTGGAGGTCATCGATCAAAGGAAGGGTCGGCGCGGATTTGTGTCCTCTTAGGCCCGAAACGTCGCTCTTTAGGAGCCCTCTAGGAGCCCTCTTTGGGCCCTCGTTGGGCTCTCGTGGGCCCTCTTGCAGTCGTCTTGAGACGTCAGAAGCCAACCAGAAGCGAAAAGGCGAGAAGGCCAACACCATCGATGTTCGTCTGGTTTGGGAAGGACGTTGGCCTCTCGGGAGCGTCCTCAGGAGTTGCCGTGGCCACTCGGGGCCGCCTTTGAGCGGTCTTCCTGTCGTAGGCACGTTGGAAGCTCTTTGAGCCATCTTGGCCAGTGGCAAGTTGGAGACCATCTTGGGCTTTCTGGTGCCATCTTGGAGCTATCTTGGGCCACCTCCGGCGCTGTGACTGGTTGCGCCCCCCCGTTCAGACACAGGGGGAGGTGTATGGGGGAAGGGGGGTTGGAAGAGGAAGCGCCTTACACCTCAGCCCTGAAGGGCTGGTGGGATTCTGAACGTTTCGTGCACCGTGGGAAGGTTGGGTAACGCCCTTGGCATTCCTGACGCCCCTGATGCCTCTGACGCTCCTGACGCTCCTGACGCTCCTGATGCTCCTGACGCTCCTGACGCCCTTGACGCTCGTGACGCTCTGACGCTCCTGACGCCCCAGAGAATCAGGAGCGTCAGGGTAGCCCCCGCCGCGGCCGTCGCCGTCGTCGCTCGTATCCACAGGTGGTCATCGCAGAGGGGGAGGTTGCGTGGGGAGAGGGGGGTTCAACACAGTCGTCCCAGGGCACCACCTCAAGTTGCTCAGTCGTCCAATGCAGAAGACGTGGTCGGGCTTAACAGATGCCGAAGTGTGGCCAGATGTGCATAGAGGGGGCCAGCGGTGTCTCGAAAACGCGTCCTCCGCACATCACCACGGCATTTCTTCTCACGGCATGAAGCGCATTCGATGTTCGTACGATCAGTGCTGATTCGGTATCAGGGCCGTTCTTGGATCGGCATACGGCTTTAGGTCGCAGCCACCTTTGTCCGCGGGAACGCATCAGACGCAATGGCGCTACATATGCACCCTGCAGACTGGGATGCAGCACAAACTCAGGAATGGTTAGAGTCGCAATGTTTTTTCCCATCGTTCGCAGGGCAGGAATTAAGCGGTCAAGACATACTCTCGCTTAGTGAGGATGAGGCCAGGACCATGGCGGGCGGGCAGTTCGATCAATTCTGGCAATTGGCAGAGCGACTTCGCAAGGTTGCAGACGACAGCTCTTTGCTGTGTGCGCTTCGTTGTCAACAGGAGGATGCAGATACCATTGTCGCGGGGCTTATCGCAGACGACATTGAGGGGTACCTCCGGGATAGTTTCTTTGCGCAGGAGTTCCATCACAGCATTTTGAAGCAGAGGCGTGTTGAGGACAATGATCGTCTTCTCGCGCTGAAGCTAAGTGAGGATTGGGCGAACGCATCTGACCAGGATGCGCACATGCTCAATGTATTTGCACAAGAGGAGGCACTCGCGGCCGAGGATGCCAACTTTGCAAGGTGCGTGCACGAGCTTCCGGATGGCGCCGCATACGTCTTGACCGATTTGAAGTTCAATGGCAGCGACCAGGATGAACAAGTGGCTACAGGGCCTCCAGGAGAGCCACGCGAATCGCTATTGCCTGAGGTCACCGTGCCGGGGATATCTGCGGAGACTGAATGCACAGATGCAACCGAAGCAGCACAGGGACTAGACGCTGGGGGGTGCGAGGTGGTGGACCGCCGCAGCGTCGATTCAAAACCTGTCAGCATTGAAGAGTACGGAGAGCAGCCAGACACAATACAGGATGACACCGAACTCCCCCCATTGGAGGATGTGGAAATGTGCGGCTGTCTCGCGTGCCTCGGCAATTTCCCTCTGGAGTTCATGGTCGCACTTCCTTGCCGGCAGCATACGATGTGTCCTGAATGCTTCAGGCAACTTTGTTGTTCTGGACTGCGTGACGTATCCCTCCTACCAGTGTCATGCTGTGGAGTTCGCGTGCCCGCCGATATCGTGCAGAAGGTGCTGGACACCAGCGAGTTCGAACAGTACCTGCGCCTCGTTCAGGAGAAACTGGCAGCTCACAAGATGTACTGCCCATCCTGTTCCTGCTTCATCGACCTGGACAACCTGATGTCGTTGGAGAGGGCCACCGAGATCTCGTGCCCAAGGTGCTCTGAGGCCTTGTGCAGTAAATGCAAGTCAGGCTGGCATCCTGGAGCGTCTTGCTCAGATCAACCTGCATCACCAGAGGACGTTGTTTTCGAGGAAACCGCGGCACAGCATGGATGGAAGCGATGCCCTGGCTGTGCGTACTTCGTCAGCTTGAGACTCGGGTGCAACCATATTACATGCCGCTGTGGTTGCGAATTCTGCTACGCGTGTCTCGCCGACTGGTCGAACAACACCAAGACTTGTGATTGCCCACTGTGGGATGAACAGAACTTGTTACTAGAGGAAGAGCGCAGGCAGAATAATCGCGAAGAACAGCTGGGCCGCCCTCTGAGACGTCAAGAGAGGCTGGACGTGCGCCTGCAGCTAGAGCACGACAACCGTGTTGGTAACGAATGTAACCACCGCAGTAAGCAGAGCTTCGTTTACAGAGAGTTTCAGAAGGCTCGGACTAAGAGTGGTTTGCGGACCTGCGACAACTGCTCAAATCCTATAACAGCGTACGCCTATGAGTGCCAGGAATGTCGCATGCGCATCTGCAGCACCTGCATGCACAATAGGAGGATCGCATAACATGCGACCCTCGACGCGTGTCCGCACTGCCACAGCGCAGTCGGCTAGTGCCCGTGAGCTGCAGTCGCATCGAGTCGTGCGCTGGCACGTCTGCACATGCGATCAGTCAGCCACCGCGGGCTTGCTGCGAGCGTAGTGGCCGCTCCAGCGCTCCGAGTCCGGGCCTGGCGTGCGCCTGCGGCCCCTTTCCGAGTGCGCTGCCGGGCATGTCCCGCCGCCGTCTTGGGGAAACTGCGTAGAACACCGCCGCTGGAGCATGTCGCGACGGATGTCTCTTGTGTGGCCCTTCGAGGCCCCTGGGTTGTTCATTGGCGGCCTCTTGGGGAGGCTAATCGGGCTGTCGCCTGTTGGGCGGCCTTGGGGCCATCTTGGGGAAAAGGGCTCCTGGGGTCCCTCTGGGTTCCCTCTCTTGGGTCCCCCTCTTGGGCCCTCGCGGCGGCCTCTTTGCTTCGTCTCGGGGAATCGGGGGCCCTCGTTGGGCGATCTTGGAGACCTCTGGGTCCGCCCTGGACGTCCTGACACTGAGAGCGTGCCTCCCTGGCTGGCCCCCAGGGTCGGCCCAGAAGACCTCACGGGGGAACGCCCAACACGCGGCCTGGCGGCCATCTTGGGGCACGTTGGAGGTCTGGGTTCCCGACGACCCTTCCCGCAGTGACTTTTTTTCCTGGACTCCACGCCGGTGTGCAGTGCGCAGTGTGCTGCCAGCACGGCCCTCTGTGGGGCCTCGGGGGCAAATGGCGGCGGAGGTGGGGAAGCGTTGCTGCAAGCCCGTCTCTCCCGCCTGTGATAGACTGTGTGCGCAACTATCTTGCCAGAAACGGAATTCAGACCTGTCTACACATGGGGCTCTGAACAGGTCACGTGAGAACCCCTGGCCCCACGAGCCCGCTGGAGCGTCCCAGAGCGCCTGGTAATGGGGTGTCTGTGACTCCAGGGACTTTCTTCACGCCTTCCGCGTCCCCACCAGTACATCCAGAAACGAGGCCCAGGCGTTTTGTCTTGTCTTGATCAGGGAAGTGTTGCCGCAAGCAGTGGAACAAAGAGCGGCAGCCGCCGAATCGAAGCTTGGGATCAGCCTGAGCGGACGCAGGAGACAACCGTAGATGCATTCGCAGATCTTTCCACACGGGAGCCTCGTGGGAGCTTCCTTTGGCAACACTGGGGCCCTCCCTGGGCCATCTTGGGGGTCTTCGGGCCCTCCTGGCGCCCTCTTGGGGCTCTCGGGGCTCTTGGGGCCCTGCCGGGGGCCTCCGGGGCCCTCCCGGGTCGATCCAGGACGCCAGCGATCAAGAGAGGATCGGCGCTCACCTGCCTGCCCCCGTCGAGCCCTCTTAGATGTGCGCTTGGAGAGTCGCGGCGCCCTTTATGACTCCCTCCTTGGGCTCTCTTGGCCGATCTTGAAGTCGTCTTGATGCTTCCAAACCCCTTTGGAAGCGAAAAGGCGAGAAGGCAGACATGGTGGATCAACGTGAGGCCTTCGAAGGATTTTAGCCTTTCGGGGGCGTCCTTGGGAGGCTCCAAGGCCTCTCGGAGCCATTTTTGGGGCCGCCCTGAGGCATCTTGGAGGAATGCTGCAATCCATCTTGAGCTATCTTGTGCCATGTCGTGCTCTCCTGGGGGCCATCGTATGACACATTGGGAATTATTTGCCCAACAGCCTCCCAAGAATGCAACTGAAAAGCCAATCGCCTTCAAGCACTTCATATTGTTCTAATTATGATTGTGCTGATGGCTTGATCGATCCAAGAGCCCGGAACGAGATATAGGACTGCCTTGACTTGGACAACTGGCAGTGACGATGATGAAAATATCCATGGTGGTGATACCGCGCCAGCGGCTGTGCTGTGTTGCGCTGCACTGCACCGTTCAGTGCCTTGCTTTGCTGAACTGTGCTGTTTTGTAGTGTGTTGAACTGATCTGTGCACTATTGAGCTGTGAGTCTAGTCATCCTTGGCGTCCGAATCCTAACCGAACTGATCTGGATCTTTGGCTCGAGCTGCCTGAACGCATGGCTTGCACAGAGGTGGTTGCAGTCGAAACGTGTGCGGCGCTCAATCCGCTCAAGCTCAGGACCCGATTCAGTTCCGAAACGGGACCAGCCCGTAGCGGGCGCAGGGCGCATGGACACGCCACGGGGCCTGCCAGGGGCGCGCCAGGGGGTGCGCCAGGGAACGTGCCAGGATGCTCAATCCGCTCAAGCTCAGGACCCGATTCAGTTCCGAAACGGGACCAGCCCGTAGCGGGCGCAGGGCGCATGGACACGCCACGGGGCCTGCCAGGGGCGCGCCAGGGGGTGCGCCAGGGAACGTGCCAGGATACGAACCAGGACGCCTCGGGGGATGTGTCATGAACTTGTCAGGGATGCGTCACGGGACGTGCCAGGGGGTGTGACAGCGGGTCCGCATGGGGACGGGCTCGGGAACATGCCAGGGTACGCCACTCGGGACTCTTCAGGGGTTACGCCAGGGGATTCGCCACGGAACGTGCACGGGAAGCGCCAGACGATGAGCCATGGAACGTGCCAGTGGACACGACAGTGGATGAGCCAGGGGACATGCCAAGGGACGGGCCCGAGGCTTACGGGCGAAGGGCACCCATGTGTTCGGTGGATCCCGAGGCTTACGAACGAAAAGAGCCATGTGCTTTTGTGCGTCCAGAAGCTTACGGGCGAGAGGGACATTTTTTTTTTGCGGGTCCCGTGGCTCGACGGCAAACGGAACGCATGTGTTTTGTGGGTCCCGAGGCTCGCGGGCGAGAGGAACCCGTGTGTTCTGTGGATCCCGAGGCTTACAGGCGAAAGGAACCAATGCAAAAACACATCGTTTCAGCTTCCAGGCCGCCGCGGGAATTGAGATCGTTGTAACTGTCGCCATCCTCGAGCGGGCACACACACAACATCAGGGTTCGTATTTTCAGATGAGCAGCTGGGCCTCTGGACCCTGTCATTCGCAGAGGATTGCACGCAAAACCTTACCCACTGCCATTTTGTCTATGGAAAGCGGGGGTCTGCGGACCCCGTTATTTGTCCAAGATCCGATGTGGACGGCGCATCATCATGGGGCGGGCGCGCACATAATCCTTTCTTTTATCAACAGGTGGGCCGCACATCTTATCGGGCGGAAATCAAACACGAAGTTATTCGCCGGAGACATCCTCACAATAAGATCCGCTGGCCCTCTTCGGTTTTGTTCTTCGTCCAGGGGAAATCTGCGGGCCTCCTTCAGTCGAGGCACCAGTATCATAGTCTCTGGAAGAGTGACCTTGGCCCCCGCCCTTTCCGGAACCTCTGCCGCCAGCCCCCCCTCTTTCAGAGTGGAAGATATCAGAGCCGTGTACCCCCGGAACGCCTTCGGCGAGGCGCAGCTGCTGGAGGGCGTCCGGAGGCTGGAAGGCCTCCAGGAGTCAACGAAAACGCCCCCAAACCTCGAGCTCCGAACTCCGGAGGGCCGCGATCCCCCCCCCGCCTCGTTGCCCCCTGAGCTCACGTCGACTCCTCGTGGCGATCCTGATTTTCACCACCCACCAAACCACCCCAACCCAACCCGAAGGCTCAGATTTACCCTCGATTTCCAGTGGGGGGGGTCGGGAAACATCGAAAAAACACATGTGGAACCCTTACCCCCCCCAACCCGAAATTCGGGTCTTCGGGTTGGGTTGGGGTGGTCTGGTAGGTAGTCAGATTTTCCGACTCGGTGCAGGGCCAGCCTGCCTGTCGTCAAGGGGGCCCCGGCCTCGGGGGCCGCTGGGCCGGTGCCGGGGCCCCCGTCCCGCTCGGCGAGCGCGGCGGGGCCGTCGGACCTGCGACCGGGCTCCCGCCGCTGCCTGCGCTGCAGAGGCGTCGAGGAGCCCGAGCTCCGCGCCGCGCGGTGGTCTTCGTTGTCCGACGAGCCTGGGCTGCGTGGGCTGGCAGGCAGCCTGCGCAGGCTTCGCCCTCGCCATTTCTCTCGCGACCCCCTCCCCTCCTCGCCCTCCTCCTCCTGCTCCTCCTCTCCCTCCCTCCTCTCCCTCCCTCCCCTCCCTCCCTCCGCCGCCTCCTCCTCCTCTCGAGCTCGAGTCCTGGGCTGGAGGCGCTGGACGCGGCACAGTCCGAACGGCAAGAGCAGTGCAGAGACAAAGCTTCTGGAGAGCCGCGCGGACCTCGCGGATCGGCGTTGGGCGCCCCTCCCCGGCGCACGAGGCGCGCCGGGGGCGGCTCCGGAGTCGCCGCGAGTGCGGTCCCGCGCCGATTCCTGAGATCCACGCGTACAGTCGGGGCGCTGAATGAGAAACCCTTTTCGTTGGGGAGGGGCTCGGTGTTTCTTGATTGTTGTGCAGTTTGCCCTAGGTTTTCCTTTCGTCTTCCATGGGAATCAAAACTCGACTTACGGGAACAAGGGGCCTCGTTCCTTATTTAGGGTTCCTTAGGTCAACGCCCCGACTGTACCTCCGAAAGCTTCTATTTTCGAAGAAGAAAAAAGGCAACACAAACAAACTTTTGGCGCTCCGCGCGGATTTCTTCGGCCCCCCACGGCGGCGCCTCCAGCGCCGCCCCTGGCGCGCTCCGCGCGCCAGGGAGGGGGGCCCAGCGCGGATCCAGGACATCCGCGCGGAGCGCCACAGGTTTCTGCTTGTGGCGTTCCGTCTCTTCTTCTGTCTGTATGCATGTGAGTACACCGTAGGCGATGCTTAAGAAAACCCAAGTTTTCGGCCAGAGTCTCGATTATTCTTAATGTTTCAATGTAAATCCCAAGATTTGAATAGACATTCTGGGTTTTTATTCCAATTCTGAGGCTATGAATTTCTTAACCCATGATTTCTTAAGCATTTCGCAGGGTGTATGCATGTGAGTATGCAGCTTCTCTGCTTCTGGCAGTGGCCATCCCCTCCGGCGTCTCCCCTGGGCTCCAGTGCCCGGCCCGGCTTGGGTCGACGGGCCGGCCCCCTGCCGGTCCTCTCCGCCTGGCTCCACCCCGTTTAGCCTGAGCTCCGCTGCCAGGTTGCTGGGCCTGTTTTCCACCACCACCACCATAGGTAGGAAAGGGAGGGGGTCCTCCTCCTCCTCCTCCTCCTCCTCCTCCTCCTCCTCCTCCTCCTCCTCCTTTCCTCCTCTTCCCCCCCCTCCAACTTATGGTGGTGGTGGTGGAAAACAGGCCCATCATAGGTAGCCATCTCTGCGATTTAGCGCGTGCGAGGCCCAGCGCTTGTACAAAGGCCTTACGCTTTTCTCGTTCACTTCTCCTGCTCTCGTCCACGATTCAGTGGGACTCGTGCTGCTATAAACGCGCCGGCATGCGCGTGGAGTCAGGCGTCTTCAGATGGTACAGGGCTATCATCGGATGCATCGTTTGGACCGGTGCGTCGCACAGCTTCATTTGCTGTTATTGATTGGAGTCTGCGGATATACAAGAAAAGATGATAACGACGGCAGTGTTGGTGGAGACTTCGCATGCGCCCGAAGTCGACTCGCTGATCAAAAGCGGGTCGACTCCGATTTTCCCCTCAACACTGTATGCTAAAAGTATCGTCTGCAACCTTATTCGGTCCCAGCCGTTCTCTGCAAATTACGGATCTGTAGAAGGCCCCCGCCGTGTCCACCTGGTCTAGGTGATGTTTGCAGGGCGGAAATTTTCTGCTTGACGGAGTTACTTGATTTTATGCCCTTGACATTCTTGCCGACGCCTCGACTGGATGTGTGTAGGCAGCCAACATCATACTCATGTTGTTTTAATGTCAACGCGGCTTGAGAGTGCTCATGTTTTACATGCAAAGCGCCCCTTAGTTAAGATCGGGGGAGTCCTGATCACATGTCCGAAACGATTCTGGCCAAAAATCTTGCGAAAATCTTCCCCTGAATCTCTGGCCGCATTGCTGGGGCCCCCTCAGATCTCCAAAGCAGATCCCCCTGGCGAAATCCCGAAGCCAAATCTCCACCGAAATCTCCAGGAATCCCCCTTCTGGTGGAGATCTCAGGCAAAATCTCCGGGCCATTCCGCCCGCACAAGAATCTCTGGCGAAATCCCCAGGGTTCCCGCAATGCGTTGGATTGATTCGAATGCATTGGGATGTCGGATATCTCAGTGGAAATCTCATTGGAAATCTGTTCGGGGAGATTTCCTGGGAGATTCTCTGGGATATTCCTGAGGGGTAAGATTTTCCGGAAGATTTCCACGGAGATTTCCGAGGGGCAAGATTTCTGGGGAGATTTCCCGGGAGATTTTCTGGAAGATGTCCGAGGGGCAAGATTTTCCAGGAGATTTCCCCAGGAGATTTCCGAGGGGCAGGATTTCCCAGCAGATTGTCCGGGATTTTTCCGAGGGGCAAGATTTGGTTTAAGGTTTTTTTGAGTTTTGTGGGGCGTCCAAGATTTGTTGTGTAGACTTTGGTTCGGACATATTATCTAGGCACTCCCCCGACCTAGCCCTTAGTCTCAAGCCGTCGTTTTGAGCCTTCCAATTCTAATGATGCCAGTCCGCGGACCCCAACCGGTGTGGATCACAAAGTGTGCGGAGCCCCGTGTGGAATGTTGGACCCCTTATTGGTGGAGCACCACCAAGTGTGGAATCTTTTTTTTGGTGTGTGTGTTTTTTTTTTTTTTTTTTTTTTTTTTTTTTTTTTTTTTTTTTTTTTTTTTTTTTTTTTTTTTTTTTTTTTTTTTTTTTTTTTTTTTTTTATTTTTTTTTTATTTTTTTGTTTATTTATTTATTTATTTATGTATTTATTTATTTATTTATTTATTTATTTATTTATTTATTTATTTATTTATTTATTTATTTATTTATTTTTATATACATATATATATATATGTGATTTGCGGCGCTGTTTGCCCGCCCCCTCGCTGCACGCCGCCTCGCCACGGCGCGCCCCCTGTTGACCTGCCCTGGCGGTCAAGTCGGGCTGCTGCACGTCGACGGCGGGGCCCGTCGCGCCCGCGGGCGCGCCGCCTCGTCCCGCGGTGCCTCTCTCTTGGCGGGCCTGCTACGATGGCCTGCCGCCACCTCTCTCTGCCCCGTGCCCCAGAGGATGGGAAGGTACCCACATACCCCTACCCTTCCCTCGTTTCTTCCCCTCTGTGGGCGTCCTGGGCGGGCCTCGTCGCCACCGCTGGATTCGCCTCGAAATCCTGGTCAGAACGCACCCCGGGAGAGGTCCGGGGAGCATTAACGATCCTCACATCCCTAAAGCCAGGGTGGGGCAGAAAAAAATCAATGTAGGTTTTATGTAACGTTAAAGAGACTTTAGTAGTATTGGTGAATCTGTGGCTTAGGATGTGATAAAAGTGACGAGTGGCTCAGGGCTTTGGGGCCCGATCGGATAAACATGACGGAAGGGTGCCGCTACGGCCCACCACGCGCGGCCGCGTGTATCCGTTCGTTATGGCATCGGTACCTCTCTCAGCCCCGTGCCTCCGGTGATCTTCCTGGGGCCCCGGCGCGCGCCCCCCGCGCCGTGCCTTCCGCACCCCGCTGCCCCGCTTTTTCCGGTGGCCGGCCGTCGACGGCGCTCCTTAGATGGTCCTCCGCCGACGGGGTGCGCCACCGCACCGTGGTGCCTCCTCCTCCTCCTCCTCCTCCTCCTCCTCCTCCTCCTCCCCCTCCTCCTCCCCCTCCTCCTCCTCCTCCTCCTCCTCCTCCTCCTCCTCCTCCTCCTCCTCCTCCTCCTCCCCCCCTCCCCCTCCTCCCCCTCCCTCCTCCTCCTCCTCCTACTCCTCCTCCTCTTCCTCCTCCTCCAATTTTCAGGAACCTCGGGAGGCGGTGGACATGGACATGTTCGGGCCCCCTGGGAGCAAAACGAGATCCATATCCACCGCCCACTGGGGCACCAGGACGTCGGTTTCCTCGCCGGTGGATATGGAAGAATCCCCGCCTCGCATTTCTGCCTGCGACAACCCTCCGACTTTGCCGCGCCTGCCACGCGGGCACCCCCCTCGCAGGCAGGCGGGTTGTGTACCCAGACCCCCGACGTCATGATTGTTTCATAACGTCGACCCTCCGAGGTCTCGACCCCTTCCCCTGGACCGGTTTTCCATCCTGAGCCGTTTTTTGACGGTCTCGAGGGCCGGTAAGGGCCTCCAGAGGCCGAACATGAGGGAAAACCTCATGTCATGTTTTTTTCATTGCCCGCGGGGGCCTGGGAACCCCGCCGGTCGCCTGCTTGGCAGCCGCCGCGCCCCGCTGCGCTGCAGGCCCGTCGCCCGCTTGGCATGCTGGCCCTGCCGCCCTCTGCCTGCGGCTCCG